GGGACTATGACAACCTACTGCTTTTAGGCATGGAGAGTGGACTATGACAGCCTACTGCTTTCCTGAGTGGAGAGTGGACTATGACAGCCTACTGCTTCCCGGAGTAGAGAGTGTACTATGACAGCCTACTGCTTTCCGGATCCGGAGTAGAGAGTGGACTATGACAAGTCATTGATTTCAGGACACCATATTTTCTAGTGAGCGGCTCTCCACTTATGTTGGTGATGGCCATCTAGGTTTCTACCTTTGATGTTTGTTATTATCATCATAAATCTGGTGACCCAGATAGTCCCAACATGAATGGATTATCAATATTTGATGCCTACAAATAAGTGGAAAATGGTTGTTGTATGAGTAAAGTTTTGGTGTTTCCAAGATAGAGAAAATAAATTAATCTCCACGGGTACACACTAAGGAGAGAAGGGGGAGGTGGGGGACCCGGGATGGTCTAGTAGAATATATACAGTATACATGTATCTGCTGATATATGAGGTAATGAAATTATGACAAGTATCTGTTGAGGTTGAGAGCGTCCAATGGTTTTGGTGAACGCAACCTTCCAGGGGAGCCGATGGTTATTAAAGTTATCCCCGCGCAGTTTGGAGTGCGGCCAACCTCGATGTCTGGGGGGCCCATTCCTTGCCCCATGCGAGGGACATCTGGATGGTGTAGACACAAAGTTTTTCAGGGAAGAGAAAATAAACCCGTCGATAGTATGGCAAAGACGCCCTTCCTCAGATGTAGACCAATGTAAATCCGACCAGTACTGGTATTATTTCAGGGAACACGTTTTAATGATAACACCCATAATCACGTTTGCTGACCCATCACTTCATCAGTAAGGTGCGGCAGAGATTCCACAGGGAACACACATCATACAATGTCTATAAATAGTTTATAATTCATAGTGATGAAGAACATAAAAATAGAAAAGGATAAAAGCAAAATCCATATAAAAGCTGGAAGTGCAACTGGGAATTTTCTATATAGGTTGTATGAGCCACCATATGGAGCAGCAATGCTCTGAGGGTCTAACACAAGGGTAGGCAAACCTTGGCACCTCAGATGTTGTGGAACTACAAGTCCCATAGTATTGGAGGTTGAAACAAGACACAAGTCTATCAAGTTCAACCTTTGTGTGTGTGCGTGTGTGTCTCTTGTGTGTGCATGTGTATATATAAGAGCCCCTGTGTGGTCTAGTATGTAAGTGTACCTGTACCCCTGTATGTTACGGCCTCTTATGATGGAATCTATTGGATCCCATCATGACTCATAACCATGATGCACTGCAAGACAGCCACAGGCATGACCCCCAGAGACAGAGGCATGATGGTATCTGTATGGTTACCACAGCTGGAGTGTTAGGGTCACCTACCCCTGGTCTAACATTAGCAAGAGGATGATTACTAGGGATGCACCGCTAAATCGGCCGGAAATTTCACTTTTGGCTAAATGCCGAAAGTGCCATTCTCCTGCCGATACAGCGGCGCATCCCAGGTTATTTCCCTCCCCCCGCTGGGCGCTGCTCTGTGTCCCAGCCGGGAGGAGAGAAAGTGACAGCCGGCCGAGCGCTGCGGGAGGAGAACGTTGTGAGCGGCCGATGTCTCTCCTCCCACACCGCTCAGCCTCCTATCACAGTCCGGCAGAGCGGTGTGGGGGCGGAGACAGACCGCGCTGTCACTGGAGGCTGAGCTCTCCTCCCTGCTCCGCTCGATCAGCCTCATGTGACTGCGTGTCAGGATGGAGAGCGGGTACAAGCAGACGGTGATCAGTGATCGCTGAGTGTTTGTACATAATTGAGGACAGAGTATGGTTACTATATCCTCAATTATGAATGAACAGGAAGTACCCTACATCACTTCCTGTTCATTCATAGTTGTAGTTATAGTAAACATACTCTGTCCTCATGTTATCAATGAACAGGAACACTCAGTATAGAGGATTCCTGTTCATTGATAACAGGGGCTGCAGAAAAAGAGATTGAGGACTTTGTGTCCTCAATCCCTTTTTCTATTTTCATAGGGAAATATCAGGGATCTGTTTAGAACCCCAATATTTCCCCGAAGCCCCTAAAATTAAAGTAAAAAAAAATATTTAATAAAAAATGAATAAATAAATAAAAATGAATACAAAAAAATAAAAAGTTTATTAAAAAAATATATTAAAAAAATGTGAAAAATTAAAATAAAAACATTTTCGGTTTTTCGTCCTGACAATTTTTTTTATTTCGGTTTCGTTTTTTAAATTTTCTTTTCCGGTGCACCTCTAATGATTACCATTTCTTTTGAGGAGTGAGATTAGAAATATTGAGCAGATATCTTGCTGGGTGAGATGGATCTGCAGGATCAATACACGATATTGTATTATACATTTCATATTGATTGGTATTGGCTTTTTTATGTGTGGGCAGAATCCTGCATTGCGGTGGTGTATCTGGTCTGCAGTAGATTTGAGTTTCGGCCCTAAAACCGCCATTTGAAACCAAGGCAAGCAATAGCTCAGATCTCCTGCACCCCTGTTCATGGACAGGACAATATTCAGCAAGCCAAATGCACTGACGCGTTTAACTGTAATTGTATCACCAGAGGAACGAACAAAGGTTAGTGAGGAGAAATGAAAGTAAATGAGTATGGAATTTCTGGATTCTTCCATCACTTTCAGTCATCATCCCAATCCTTCCTCATTCCATCCAGAAGAAGAAAAAAAAATAACAATTTTGGCTTTAGTTATATTTTCAGATATTGTAAAGTGATTGATGCTGGAAAATGTCCATTTAAACATTCTGTTCACAAAGATCTATAACTGTACGAATCCCCATGGTAACAAGTAACATCCCATGGTCTGATTACCCGCCATGGATAATACAGAGCCTATCCAGAGTGAAGGGGGCGGGTATAGAATAAGATTTATGTGTCATGGTGTCACCTCTGCACCTTCCTCTTATAAAATGTAACTTTGTTTTCTGTAATTGGAGGGACGATTCCTCTCCTGACCTATT